AAATGGTTCTGTTCGTCCGCTGCCAATGCCTTTAAGGTTCTCATGGCTAAGAATGATGCACTAGTAGTACCGTATGTTACCGTACATAACCTATAAACTTGAACTGAGACCTTGCAGCTTGCCTTCCAAACCATTTGCTGTAAATTTCTTTGCGATGGATTTATTTGTCAATAGATCTGCTTAATATCGGCATTAAAGGCAAAGTGATGTTTTCTAAACCTAGAAACTATATAAAAAAGATCTTGAATTGTGCCTCCGTTCATTAGAATTGAATTTAGCGAATAGCCAGTAGATGATTTACATGATGCATCGAAAACAACTCTTAATTGCATTGAAGTTTTCTCTGTGCGATATACTGCGTGATGGGGAATGTAGTAACAAGTATCACAGTTATCCACGGGCATAACAGATTCCACGTGATTTAAGGTTAACTATTCGTTCATAAATTCCTTATACAATTTAGCCTTATTAGCATCAAGATACTTCCAAATTGTGTTCAGTCTCTTAATAGCAATTTCTTTAGATGAACCCAGCATAGAAGTGGTATCATCCTTCATAGGTAATTTTACTATATATCTACCTGTTTCATCGCACAAGTATGTTTCATTAAAATGCCTTTCACAAAATATTTCTTCTTCATTCTTTGTGACTTCATTATCATCTCCCAAGAAGGATTCTGATTCGAAAAACTTCTTAATTGCATTATCGAGACTTGATCCCTTTATCAAATAACCAGTAGGTAGGACTCCTAAATAACCAAATAAATTAAATAACTAAATTCTGTGTTTTGTAATATGTTTCCATTCAGCACTTGAACTCTACCTTCCTTCAAGATGTTAAAGAATAAATAGTTCATTTCCTATCAATATATTGATTTTACCAGGTGTATAGAAGTTAGGGTCTGCTAATTTAATGTCACACAGTATCGCTAGATTAGAAATATCCAGTTTGGTTGAAGGAATTACATCTGTTATTTTTGAAATAATACACAATTTTAAATTGTGAGAAAAGGTCTCTGTTTCGCTTTGATTGAATGAGCTGATCTACTTATTCCCAAAATGTGCGTTCAGATGGGTTTAGTTTTCAAGCCCAAAACTTCTGCGCATTCTTTGGTAATGAGGTTCATTTCGAACCGTAGTCCAGTAAGGCTCTTATTCTGCAGCGCTGCCCGAACACATTCGCTGCATAAATAACCATTGTTCTCTCCGAGTTTTCCGCCACGGAAATGGCTGCAAGACTGTGTACTGTATATTGTCACCCGCAGCTTCTTAGGAGGGGTTTGTTTTCTCCTGGTTTGATGGATGGCGGGGAGTATCTGTTGGACACTGAGGGTCATTGTCCCTATGGAGAAGAGAATGATGTTTTAGGGAGCAGCTGCTGCACGAAAAATTTGAATTGCATTCTCCAGAATGAATTTTTAGACAGTTCACCCATAATTTGTTATTTTTGACGATAATGAGTCTATTCTGAACATTCATTCGTTTGAATGCATTACATTTAAAAAGAGTATGGTTTTCTTTACAATTGATACATTTTTTTTTTAGTTGGAATTATTTGACTCTACAACAAAACTTTTTGGTTTTGTACCAGTAATGTGTTTAGGAGGAAATTTGATAACCATATTTTTATGGATGCTTTTCTAGCACCAAAGTTCGATTTTCGAGAAAACTTAAAAATTCGTCAAGTAATGGAACATCTTTGGATTTTAAGGTGAACTAAAATTGCTTTCGAGTTTCTTTGTCAATTTTCTGAAGGAGAATATTTATTAACATTGCGTTAGATAGCCTATCAAGATCGTACTCTAACGTTTTTAAGGCACGTAGATTGCGTTTGATATCATCTAATAATTGGTGAAGCTCCTGAGGTGATTCTTGCTGAATTCTCTCTTGGTTCAAAATATTTTGGATATGACTATCCACTATGGCTCGTTTATTTTCGTAACATAATTCTAAAGCTTGAAACAGCGATTGGTATGTATCTTCTCAATTCTTGATATTTTCTGCTTCTCCTTTAAGAGCAGCCTTTAAATAATAAAGTTTTTGTGTTTCAGTTAGTTTCTTATTTTCGGCAGTTAAGGATATAAACTGGCATTTAAAACCATGAAATTCTTCATATTTTCCAGAGAATTTAGGTAAAGGTATTTCAGGCAATATTTTCAACAATATTATTACGTACTGGTAATGCATTAACTTTTGATTTTAATTTTGTAATGAGGTATTTGAGACTTACCTCCATTTTCTTCAGATCGTCCTCTAGTTCCTCAATACTTTCACAGGATTCCTCTATGGAGACCTCTGCTGGTAGATTGAAGTACCGCTGTTTTAACCTTTTAACTGTCATGCCCGAGATAATCTCGGGCATAGCATTGATGTTCGAAAATGTCACGCCCGAGTATACCTCGGGGTAATTTTTTTTGAGTGCATCGTATTGTTATACCCGAATATATATCGGGAGACGTTTATTTCGGCTTCATCTCTCTGTCAAACCCGGCTGTATCTCGGGAAAAGTTAATGTGCGCTCAATTCAATAGATGACAGCACTTTACTAATGATTTTAAAGGTTAGAGGTTATAAGTTCTTTGGTTCAAAGTGCACGGGATCTTTTTGTTGTAAAATGGCGTCCAGTTCTTTGAAAAGTTATATAGATGATTATATTCTTCAATCGAAGATGAAGGATGTGTGTTTGATAAGCAGTATTCATGATACTTCCATGGTCAGCCTCTAAAATAAAAAAATGGAGATATACTCAAGCTTAAGATTGTTTCTGACTACAGTCTAACTACGGGTGGTGTAGATCGCTGTGATTAGGAAATATCCTTTCGTCCAACAATCCGAAAACGTCAGAAAAAATATTATAAAAAGATATTTTTACATTTACTAGACAAGGTACTCTGGAACTCATATTTGCTTTATAAAAATGTAGTTGGGAAACGTATTACATTTTTAAGAATTTCGAATTCCAAGTTGTAGAAGAGCTTTTACATAAATATGGATGATGCAGCTTCTGGACAAAAGAATGTTGGCAGAGGCCACCTACAATAGATAACCCTGCCCATCTTACTGAACAACATTTTATTATCCCGTATTCCTTCCTACTCCTGTGGAACGTGGGCCTACAGGACAGTGCAAAGTGTGTTGTTCGAAAAAGGATAAAAATGGTGAAAAGATAAGGAAGGAAACCACGATTCTGGTGTAGTGATTGTGGAGTTGGTTTATGCTTGGAAAAGTGTTTCCAGTTGTACCACACAAGACTGAAGTACTGAACTACTAATAGGTATTCACTTTTATTTATTTATTTTTTAGAAAATAATTAATTTTTTTCATTTTTAGAAAATAATGCTCCACAAGAAGCGAACTTTACAGCTGCCATGTTGAGTGGCAGCCGCCTCAAGCAAATATGCAGTGGCTACAAAACTTTAAAAATTTACCCATGTACTTCAAAATATCAATTTTTAACTACATAAATATATTTTTATTTTGTACTAAACATTTGATTTTTGCAATAAAAAAATGTGACAATTTGTGTACCCAAATCATCAAAATAACCTGGCAGTTAAAGGGTTAATTCATCCAAGGATCACTTTATTCCTGATAACGATTGCAATTTCACTTCTAAAAATGATTCACTTTCTTCATTTTCAATGAAGTCACGCAGAGAATGCAGTAGTTTTGTAGGACCAAAATATTGATAGCAATTGGTAGTTGTGGACTGTATTTTAATTCATAAAAGTTGAAAAACTTAACACAACGTTTATTTTCTTTCAAGCACAATGATGCTGCTTAAACGGACAAGGAGTGAGTAAGGTCCCAATCGCATTATTATGTTTCGGCTATGTGATACTTGACGTCGAAAGGGACAATTCTCAGAACCTGCACAATTCCAGGAAACACACATAGCTAGGTTACCATTCTCACTTGCTACAAAGACTTAAACGGCAAACAGTAACCAATTATCGCACAAATTGGAATTACGTGATCCTTCAGAAGCAGAACTTTTGTCTGATTGGTTGTCTCTACCCGAGACATTTTCGGTGAGGTTTGAAAAAATCCCACGTAACCGCAACACTGCTTCCGTAGCTAGGCGGGACTTTGCTTCAGGCGGGGCCTTTTTTCTAGAAATCTTCCCGTTTAAACCAGTGCTACCAAAATTTCATTTCTCAGAAATGTCTTCTCTAGCAGGGACTATAGCCATGTGTGAAAACCTCTTAAGGATGACAATTAACAATTGACTGCTGCTTTGACCGTGCTGAGGAATGGAGACTTGGTATGGATCGAATGCATGCTTATCGCTTACTGATTAGTACTGGGCTCTTGCCACTGACATTACGTGGCGCTGCAAACGTTAAGCCAGTACAAATAGACAGAAATATTTTAACGAGACAGAACAGATAGAACACAGAAGGCACATATAAGCATATCAGAGAGATATTTTCCTTGTATCTGAAATTTTAGTGCCATATTATTGTAAATATGCCAGGTGGTTTTGTCCCTTTAGACAAAGCCATTTGGCATATTTACATGAAAAAGGGCTTGTATTTAAAAATGTTTAGAAAGGGTGATTAATTTTGCTCATAGGTTAAGCAAGAAGGCTTTAAGAAGCTAAAAGCATTTGAAAGAAATAAAGAAGTAGATTATTAAATTCTTCAGAAAAGAGTTTTATAATATACTTCGTTACTCTTCTAAATTCTTTTGAAAGAAATAGATTATTAAATTCTTTATGTATTTCTAGTTAAAATTAGTAGAAGATATTTCTTTGGTCACCATTTCTACTGAGATGAAAGAAGAAAGAAACTAGAAGTGTTTATTTCAGTGTCTAATTTGTATGTCTTGAAACAATATTGCTTTCAATGTGAAATTTTCTGTTTAATTTTGCAGCAGATAAAATCAGAATGAAAAATTAATAATCAAAATTTTCTATAACTTTGTAATTTTTGTTTTGTGCTTTCACTTGCTACATATATTTATAAATGTAATTATCATTACTTTTTATATCTGCCTTAGTGGCAAACTGGGGCATTCCTATTGCAGCAATATCAGACATAAAAAAGGATCCTAGCATAATTAGTGGGAAAATGACTTTAGGTGAGTATATTAGATATTGAAGTAAATGGTTAAATGCATGTGAAATTATTTTGCTGTTCATAAAATTCCTTTTGTTTGAAATAAATTATGAATATATATTTTTATTTTATTCTGTAGCTTTGTGCATATATTCTCTACTTTTTATGAGATTTGCATGGAAAGTTCAACCTCGGAATTTATTATTGTTTGCTTGTCACTTTACAAATGAAGCTGCTCAGATAACTCAAGGATGTCGACTTATAAAACACGAGTATGTATATTTAATACATATGCATATCTTTAAATCTGTATTATTTATGATGTTTGTTATGTTACGTGCATGCAGATTATTGCAAAACAGGCAAGTCCTGAATATAGTAAGTTTCAGCCTATAGGGAAGACTGGTTTTATAGTGTTTGTCATGATTTGCTCATTTGCAGTGTAAATAATAGATGATAATTTTCCTTAATTTTTTTTAAAAAAGGCATCACTTGTTAAAGCAGATAGTTATTATTTTGATTTGCCCCATATTGTATGTTAGCATTAAGTAGTCAACCAATGTTATTTCCTCAGTGTTTTTGTCATTTAACCAACGAAAAGTGAGATTAGTGAAAACTGTCAAACTCTTAAGCTCATTGTAATGAATTTTTATAGTTATGTGTTATTGCCATTAAAGGTGGAGACTGCAGCCTGCACAAGTTCTAACATTTCACTCTAATTAAAAATGAAATTTGGTTATTTTCAGATATTTTATATGGAACATGAACTTATCATTGATGAACTTTTTGTCAGCAAAATAAGAATGTGGTATCTATTTCAGTGGTCATTGACAGGCAGACCTTTTTTGCAAAGTAGAATCTGTTTATATTCTTAATTTCTTAAATATTTTTATTATCATGGAGTAAGCAGCCTATCATCTTTGTACGATTGTTGCATGGTCAGAGTAATATCTTACCATGATGTTGGCAGCTGGAAGCTACAGGGCACAAGATTGATTATAGAAGACTGGTTGATGGATTGAGAGTAGTTGGTAGATATGATTGGCATTAAGAATGGGGATGTTTGTGCAGTACTGCATGCCAGGTTATGTTAGTGTGAGATTTGTGTCCAGTGGATCTTGTGATACTTGATTAAGATAAAAAACATTCCAAGTGTATGTTTCAGGTGACAGCATCGGGCTGCTACTCGCTAAAGAGTGATGATTTCCAGTGCTGCATGTGACAGGGATTAAGGCCATGTGCCTCTGCCTGTGATCTTTAAATATGCCCTTTTAGTGAACTTTTAGATCACATGTAGCTAAGAAGATTTATGGAAGTTCCAAAGTAGGAACTTTCACAAATGATCCATTAACTGGAGCTGGAATAGATGGTTTAAACTTTTTTTTTTTTTTTAGTGCAGGTTGCTGTACTTGCATGTGTCCAGATGGATAGGTGCAAGGGAAGGTCTCTGTTGCAACACAATTGTGGCGATTTCAAGCGCTTCTGTAATTTTGAGGCTTCTTTTATGCTAGAGTTTGGCAATGATTTTGTACTTGTTCTATTCAGATATTGAGCGTGGATACTCGGAAGATTATTTAACCAAAGATATGCTACTTTCATTGATGGAACTGGTTGGCAAAGAGTTTATAAGTATGTTTTATGCTCAACAATTATTACTAATAATTTTCTATATGTTGAACCAATGCATGGAGTTTCTGTGTTTGCATCTTCATTGTGGCTCAGAATACAGTCAAAAGTCGTTAATTCGGACACCCATAATCCGGACCTCAAGGCTACAAACTTTCTGCGCATGCGTCTCGTTAACGGACAGTATAAGCTAAGCTAAAATTATCTAATTCAGTTAATGTTGCAGATTGCGTTGTTCCTTAATCTTCGAATTGGCTTATTATAGTTTTTGCAGACTGTTAGAGCAATTTTATAAAAGTAAGCTTGAACTTTCAATTATGTCAAATAGAATTTCTGATATATATTTATTAATATGTAAAGGATCTACAAAGCGAAAGTATGTTTCGAAGTCCATTAAACGAAAAGTGGAATTGCTGCAAAAAATGGATAAAGGCATATACTTTGTTTATCTAATCTTTAACGTTTGTTTATCTTTAACGTCGCGGCGCGCAATGAATTGGAAGTTGATCTGTCAGCACTATCCTTATCTTCAGGGCAGATGTTTTTATTTTATTTGGCTTATAATTCCTTACTAAATGTAGTATTTCATCTCAATGTACTCCGTCTTTGATATGATTTAAATCAAATTCCTCGTCATTATAATTCGCTTCCGATAGCGAAGAAAGTAACAGAGGTTATTGAAAACGAAAAAATTTCGATTCACAAATTAGTCGGTATTCTCGACACAGCAATTATAGGACTTGAACAGCGGAACTTTGTAACTGAACAAGAAATTATGTCTGTTTATAGAATTAAAGAGAATGTATTATCTCATAAAAAATGAAGCAACTTAAACAACTTACATTGAAAGAAATGTTTAATAAAGTATTGAAAGAAATGTTTAATAAAGTATTGAAAGAAATGTTTAATAAAGTAAACAAATAAATATTAAGCTTTTTTTTTTTTTTTTTTTTTTGTTGTAAATTTTTATACCCTTTAGATCATAATTGTTCTTTATTTCATAAATTACTGTTTCATATTTTTAATTTTATAATTTCTGCATGCCATCTTACCAGATTTAAACTGATGATGTATAATCCGGAATCGCCACAGTCCCGACAAGTTCGGATTAATGACTTTTGACTGTAGTATATACAACTGAAATATTTGTTGATTTGACATCTGATTTATCTTATCATAAAAGTATACAGATAGATGGTTTTGAGGTAATGACAAGTATATAACACACTGATGAAACTTTTGAAACATGAAAACTTTTGAAAACAAAACTGATGCTTGGAATAATTGGGTAGTAAGAGAATTTACTTTTATTTGATTTTTCTGTAAGTAACTTATATTTTGAGAAATAACTGCAGAAGATTGTCTAACGATTTTTGTATTTCTTTCCACTCATGCACAAGTACCATAAAATAAAAAAGCAATTTATCGCATACATAGTACATAGCTGTAAACGTAAATTTACTCTAAATCCATAATAAACAAACAAAAAAATCACTAAATTACTAAATAAATAACAAGTATGTGAACAATACCAATAGAAAAATCCAATAATATAATGAAATACAAACAAGTAAAAAAAAGTTATTTTTTTAATATATAAATCTAACATACCATAAGCACGTCTGGTATTTTGTGCTGATGTCAGATTGGGACATTTCGTATTTCTTAATCAGAACCAGATGCTTACCTGTTTACATTCACAGTTCTTATTTTCATAATGTAATAGACCCAAGGTTGTTATCTGAATAAAAATTATTCAGATTTAATCACTTTTGGGATTTAAATTGAATGCTTGGTGTTGTAAAAGAGCATTGTATATAACAATATGTCTCCATATGTTTTCAACATGTTAAATAACATTTCTGCTTGCTTTTTAGGTATTTAAGTCCCTCAGGATAAACAGATGAAATATATTGTTGATGTAGTTGAATTTGTTATATTTTGTCCTTGAAATTTTAATTTATTGCTGTAACTTATAGGTAGGTTAGATGTGTGATTATCACTTGTTTCCTGGATGCTAATATATGTACACTAAAAGTTAATTTCTATTGATTATTCTGTGCAATAAAATTTTGTTATTTTTTATTTGTGAATAGATGTTTGTGCATTACCTTCAGAGCAAAAATCTATTAAACTACGATTGAAAATAGTTCGAAAGTACAATAAATTGTATGCAAGCGTTGTTAATGTTTATAAAGCTTCATTCTCAGAATTGACTTGTCTGTAAGAAGTTCTAATTATGTTTTACTGTATAGATTTGTAGCCTGTACACATTAATCAACAGACATGCTAGAAACAATATGCGTTTATAATTTGGAATTATACTTGCAATACTGTTATAGCAATAAAACTTCAATTTTTTTTTGCATTATGTTTTGTACTTTTTATTCAAGAATAGGTAGTCTGTACACTATAATCATTTACTCAGAAATATATGTTAAATGTATGTATATCTATTCTTTAATTAATGTTTAGTGTAGACTGAGATATATATTGAGTCATCTCGAAAGTTCTGCAATTTATCAAATTGAAGTGCATTTTCCTCTAATTATTTTGTTACTGCTGATAAGAAGTGGTCTTGATCGAAGCGAATTTTTAAATATGGTCATGTTGTGGAACTCTAGCATGTGTTGTGACATTTTATTTCAGTGCTAAGAGTGAAGAACCCAAAAGTTCATTTTCATTATCTTATGCTCTTTTATTTTAAAAAAGGAAAAAATGCTAGTCAGACTGCTAAAAATTTTTTGCTATCTGTGCAGAGTGCTGTTTTTGATGGCACAGTTTGAAGGTGGTTCAAGAAGCTTAAGTGGGGAAATTTCAGACTTGATGGTAATGACTATTGTGGGTGAGTATCCTTTGTAAACAGGACTTCTAAAGAAAGCTGTCAATTAAAATCTATGTTATAAAGTTCAGGAGCTATTAGGAAAAACAAATATTCTATAAAGTACAATACATGATAATTTCAAGAAGATTGTGTGTATAAGCTGCTACAATGTATGGGTACCTCATACTAACATAATAGAATATGCTTGCTTGATTTTTGTCTAGTGATTCTTTACTGAAAAGAAGAAAAAAAAAAAAAAAAAAAAAAAAAAAAAAAGAAGAAGCTCCTTATTTGAAGTGGCTCATTGCTGGTGATAAGAATTGGATACTATACAATAATATTATGAGAGAAAGTTCATGGTATAAGCCAAAAGGTCTTTAGTAACATCTAGAGGAGGGCTGCATGTCTTAAAAGTAATGCTTTTTGTAAGGTGGGGTTATAAAGGAATTGTGTACTGTGAATTGTTGTGACCAAATCAAACAATAAATTTAGAAAAATAATGCTACCAAATGGCAGTTAAAACTGCTTTTAAAAAAGCAGCATTGAAGCAAAGGGCACATAATTGACCAGTTGTCAAGGTGTCTTCCATCATAATGCTTAGTATTGCATTTCAGTGAATGTCACACAGAGACTTGTTGAATATGGGTAGGATGTTTTGTTCTCCCACTTCCATATTCACTAAACTTTGAACTCCCTTGAATTGCCATCTTCGGATGTCTGTTCAGAATTTTCTTTGGAAACAGTTCAACAGCACTTCGATAGCAAAAAATAAAATAAATGACTTTTAAAAAAGGAATTTTTCAGCTGCCAGAAGATAGCAAAATGTCGTAGAACAGAATGATGCTTAGTGATTCCAAAAATTGAGAATATACTTCTTTTTTACAAGTTTATACCTCTTTTGAAAAATGGTAGTGATGGTCACAGCATTATTTGGAGAACGCCAAATACTGCTCATAGTTCTTAGTAGGATATGTTATATTTGAAGTTACATGCTTGCAGATGCAGTTGGGAAGTTTGTTTATGTAGGTATTATGATGGGGTATATAAACAAAATCTAGAAAAAAATGCTGTTAGGTTAGGCTTGTGTTAAAATTTCTTATTTCAGACAGTTTTAGATCATGAATTCGGCCCACATGTAAAAGCATTAAATGAAAGTTAATGTATGCAATGTCCAAAACGTCCATATCCAGCCTGTATACTTGCAGCTGTTGATTGTAGACATATATTCCAAATTTCAAGGGTGTTTTAAATTCGTGTGTTGGCATTTTTATATTAAAAAAAGTTTTATAAAAATTTCAAAATTTTTTATTACTGTTTTCATTTCTATACTTATATTTGGAGAAACTTTAATAATTTAGAAAAACATAAAAAGTGCAACTCTTGTATGCAACTTAACTAAGATATTGAGTTTTACTCAAGATTGTTGTTTTCTTTAAATGCTGCTAATTGATATTTTGTGATCTACCATACTTTATGTCAAGCTACTTAAAATTCAGCTCGCATGCATTGATCATTTTGCAATATTAGAATTTTAATTGCCATTTAAAAGTAAATGGGAATAATATTATTCTTTGCAGTTTGGGTTCAAGAGTTGTTTAAATCATGTTAACTTAAATAAAAGCAAAACTCTGTTCCTTCGATTGTGAGATGCACTTCTTAATTTCAGTACAGTCAGGTACAAGTAGGGGGGACATCAGATATTTAGCAATTGGTGATCCAGGTGTTGTTGTACTAACTATTCCAAATGCCATGCTACAGGCACTACCACTGCCAGTAGCATATCTGTGAGCTCATCCACTGGTCCAGGGTGTTTCATTTATAGCTGCGAGTAGTTACACTATCATATATGCATCGAAGTGCTGAAAAACATCTAAGATAAAGCACTCGAGACAGTATGCTAAAATATGTCTAAAAATAGTTTTTAGAATTAGCATTTATTTATTTATTAATAATATGTATCAATTAAAATTAGCTCCTAGTATATTATGTTAGAAATATGGTCGTCACACAAAGTTTTCGAATTTTAATATTTAAAGACCTAAATTTACTGTTATTTAAAAAATTCAAAGTCAGTTTTGTAGAAGGTTTATAAGAATTATTTTAATGATTTATGTGCAATGACTTAATTATTACTTAAAATGTAATACGTAAATTGAAGAATAAAATGACGTCTACATAACAAACATTTATTTTAACTATGAAGACGTTGAACAGCAGAGTAGAAACATAATATTACACAGCGCTTTGCACTTCTCTCTTACATGCAATTATTACGCAGCAGAGAACTTGCTTATCACGCGCATGCGCTAGGGAAATCGACGGCGGTTGCCAACATAAATATTTTAGTCTTTAATTCAATCTCTTAAGTTTTCACATTAAATCTAGGCTGGAATTACCAAGTAATTAAAGACATAAAATCATCAGAAGAGAAAAAAAAGGGGGCAATAAATTTGATTTTGTTATTTGAAGTGAAATATGTGGATGATTCTGAAGATAAATCGGAGCTCATTTTTGATAGCAATTTTCACTGTTCACTGCCATATGGTGTCATGATCAGCCAAAAGTAGTTATAATAATGTGAACTTGAAAGATGAAAATGTAAATGTGCGAGATAATGCAACCACAAATGAGAGGGATGATAGCATTTTAAAAATAAAATAAAGTATTCGTTGTTCATTTGCTGGAAATGGTGACATTGCTTATTTAAAACTTAGTTATCAGTATGGTTGCAGGAATAATTGGTATGCGCACAGTTGCCACATTTTGGTGACTTCTACCAAGGTGGTCAAGGTTCTTGAATTTATAAGGCAATTAAACTTATGGAACATGTTCTAAAAGGGAATCTTGATATTATTTGAAATACTGGCCTTACTAATGAAGATGGATACCAACAAATTTCACGTTTTCTTGTTTCCAGCTAGAGGAGCTGTTAAAGAAACGTGATTATTATTTTCCATCCCTGTCAACAGAATTATTCGATTGGGTGAAAAATTCATTCTTGCACACTTCCATTCGTCCTCGGAACCTAACTTCAAAAGAAAAATTTTGTGACTTGAAATCGATGTTTAATTGAAAAGGAGACTTAATGACATGGTTTTGGACTGATTTCTTTTGAAAGTGAGTATCTAACAATCATCTTCTTTCTGTGGAAGATGCAATCTGTGTCTGTATATCGAAAATTAGACCCCGAATTTTAGCATTTATGTGCTAAAAAACAGGTGCAAATTTCACATTAATATTTGTTATAAAATATTAAAGAAATTTATTATTTATCTATACCTAATTAAATTTAGAATTATACTAACTGCATGTAATTGCTTGTTTTTTGTTTTGAAAAGTGATATTTTTTGGTTTCCATTAATGATCGTTAATAAAAATACTGTTATATGGACGCATAGAAGTGAAAAGGTTGGGAAACTGTTTTAAAGTATGGAGATTTTATGTAGTGTTGCATACGTACAGGTTCGTCGTAATAGATTGAATGCACACAGAATTGATGATAGCTTGATAAAATTTATTTAAAAAAAACACTTCACAGTTCTGGAACTTTCCACAAAAATAACAGTATCACAGAGTACAATCAGTAGTTTCGTTTCAAACTACCTAGAATGTTAAACACAGTGCAAAGAAAAGCACATCTAAAGAGTGAAGTTAACCCGACTATATATCAGCACTGTGAACAAACTAGTCCACAAGGGGCCTGGTGATGAAAAATACATGAAGTGTATCCCGCAACAGGAGAAAATCACAGAGTCCAGAAAGAGGCTACTTTTATCTCTTGAAGAGCTGAGAAAATAGTGAATACACAACTGGTAGTTGGTGGCATAAGTGTTGCCATCTGATGGTTTAAAAAAAAAGATTGGAAGACTGCAAAGCAGGTGAAGGTAGACTCACTGAGGATCGTGAGCTGGCAAATCGGAAAAAAGCAGAACTCGTGATTTTCGTCGTTGAATCACAGTTCACAGAAATTCCTTCAAAGATTCCTAGCATTGTAAGAGCTAGTTTCAACTTCTGAATTGGCGATTTCGTAGTTTTGCATTTATGTGCATTGTCCATGATGCTACAAAGGATTTTACCGAAATCCATTGAGTCGAGCAGAGTAGAAACAGGTTCGGTAGACTCCCTTCCTTAGGTGGTGGCACACAAATTTATCTTGTAGGTTGAGAGGTTTTAATGCCTTCGTTATAGGTTTTTCTCTGCGAATTTTCTGGAAAAATTCACTGGTTTCAAATTATGAAACATGGTTTTTTCTACATCGGGCACAGATAGGCTTAGCATCCTGGGTGAGTGTGCGTGTGTCAGATGATTATCAAAACACTTGAGACAGCGTAGGCTATTATTGCAAAAAACTTGGTCATGTTTAAATCTTTGACACCTAAAACACTGAATCAGATTCTTCGATGATCCATAACATCTGATCTTCATACGTTTTGAAGTGTCCTAACGGATTAGACTTTTCTCCTTGCATCGATACTGCTCACTGGGATGTAAAACACAGGAAGCATATGGTCTTCTGCATTTTTGCATGACTATTTGATTTTCAGAA